CCCTTCTGGCTACATGTATAATTCCTTAAAATCCCATTGCCATTATTATTATTAAAATAGAAACCACTATTGCAAACTTATTAAATATAGAAACAGTGTTCAGCAGATTGATTATTGTCTGAAATGCATTAAATGCATAAATTATTTCCCGGATGACTAGTTATGACAGAAGTAAATTCATTTGGAAACTTTGGGCCCACTAGCATTCAGGAACGAACCACTGGATGAGGGAAAATACTAGATGAGAACATACACAAGACAAAGTCCTATATTTCTATAGCCCTAGAGAGTCCAGTAGGTGCTCAGAAAATGTTGATAAAAATAAATGAAACTATATTGTCTAGCAGTTGGTAAGAATTCAATACTTCTTAAAAATTTAATATTACTAGAATGGTCATTCTATTCTTCAGCTTATAAGGATCTCTATATCTCAATCTTTTAAGTTTACGTTCTCAAAAATCTAATTTAGAAATATGTTTCAGCCCTCTATATAACTTACAGTACACAGTGTATTAAAACAAAAGATAAAATGAGGGGAGGAAAGTAAACTACCTTGGCTATTTTATGTCCAATTCTAAAAGATAATTATACTAAACATAAAGGACATTTTATACAAATAAGAATGGACCTGACTATGCAGGGCCAGAGCTTGTCCTTAGTGGGAGAATTAAAAAACCTGCACTGATCCAGAAGAAATATGTACAATTGCAAGGCATATTTAGCTGAGCGGGAGGAAAGATAAACTTCTATAGGAAAAAAACAGAGTTCCTATTGAAGCCCTAAACTTCCAAAGTATATTTAGACCAAGCTGGATGTTACACACAAATACCTACTTCTATTAAGTGTGTCCTGTTCCTGTCAGGTTTTGGAGGGGATGTGTGTGATCCCAAGGCTCAGTCCTTACAAACTGGTGTCCTGTGGGCATCTACTGTTTCCCTTAGAAGCTCCAAGTACCTCTGAGTTTATGGGAACGGTCACAATCAGTTCTCTGCAGCCACCACCAGCAAAGCCTATGGAGAGACACGTAGAATGTGAATCCCACTACCCCCCACACGTGTATACCATGCAAAAGGGATAAACCTGGTTAGACACACTTTGAACAGAAGGCCACGCCTTTGGGCCTTGGTCTGGAAAAGAGCTGCTGCCCTAAACAGGTCCACAGCCTACAATTGCCAAATGCTAAACCCAGCTCTAACCACTATCCCAGAGGCCTGTACTAACTCCCAGAGGATGCCAGTGACGAGGGAGTGAATTACCCTTTAAGCAGTGTTTTTCTAACTCGGTAGTGAAATTCATTTGTCTGACCAAAATAAAATTTTAATGAAAAGAATCAGAGTGAATCACATATATTGTGGCTAAACCAAATCTTGGTTTCTAATACCACTCCCTCTAAAAGTAACCATGGCTGATTCCAAGGCTGGGGCTGTGGGTAAGCTCAGATGAGCGTAGAGCATCTTGTTAGGCCAGAAAAGGAAGTGCTAAAAAAAAAAATGATAGCACATCACAGGGATGCAGGAGCTACCCTGAAGGGGGTCTCTGGCCAAAGCTGAGGCCACTGGAGTACCAAAGTAATGAATTGGAACCATTCAAAAAGTAATTCACAAGGCTATAAAGGAAACAATAAATAGGAAAGAAGGACTTTTGCTTATTAAATGACAAAGTGCAACTGGTAAACGTGGAGGGGGTGCTGGAATTGAAAAAGCATTCTGTAACTATCATAGTAAAAGAATAATTCAGACAGTAGAAGCTAAAACTAAGGGGAAATTTTGGTATTTGCATGATCTGAAAATGTGTCTACGCATTGGTTATTCATTCCAAGGGGAAAAACATACAGTGGAGAAACTGGATAACACTTTAACCAGGTAATCAAAATTTACTATCAACAAGGAGCAGATGGGCATCAGGTGACCCCAGAGGTGATGCCCTAAAAAGGACACAACATCACTTAAATAGGATTCTGGCCAAGAAAGTATAAACTGATTCTAATTATGAAAAGACACCAATCAAATTCAAAATGAGGCATTTCCTATTTAAAAAATGGGGGGAGGGAACCTATATTCAAAAATATCCTGGACATAAAAGTGAGTCAGGAAAGCTATTTATGTGATTCTAGGATAGAAGCATTACTGGAAGAGGAAAATGCTATGAAGGACATTAGATGCTAGGTTAAGTCTATCAATGTTAAATTGAAGTTGAGAACTGCAGTAATGTAAAGTGATATTTTTAGGAAAAAAAGCATTAAAATACTTGGGGTTAAAGGGCTATGGTGTATGCAGCTTACTTTCAAAGAACTCCATTTTTAAGGAGAGAACTGATAATAGCACATGAGGCAAAATGTTAATGTGAACAATTGGTGAATCTAGGTAAAGCATACACAGGTTTTTTTTACTTGCAACTTTCTTGGAAGTTTAAATTATTTCTCAATAAAATGTTTTTTAAAATGCCTCTAGTGTATATTTTAACTAAAAATCTTGGGTATGTTCTGTCAGCTTTCACAGAAAGGCCCAATTCAATACCTGCCATTCACTTGGGCAGTTCTTGAGCAATCCTGACCTTTGCTCTGCTATCCAAGTCACCTTGTTTACATGGAGTCGCCCTTCCTTGGATAGGAGAGGGATAATCCATTGGGTCTTTGATTCACTTCAATGAATAATCTGGTAAAAACAAAAATCTAAATATGACTTCTACTTGAAGTCACTATGATGTAAATGGAACAAAATCAGTGTGATATTCTTTTTATATAAATTCTGTACAAAGAGTACAAGGCTGATACTTCATTTTTTATTTTCCCTCAGCCCTCCCACCCCACCCTTGGTGATGGTTGTACCCATTTGAGCATTTCTGAGCATAAGACCATAAGTTAAGTCTTAAAACAGGAGCAGAACTCTTGTCTAAACAATAACAAGGGGATTAGCTGCAAGGATAGCATAACTTGTGCAGTAACGGAAGCTGCTCAGATCTTCGTGGTGGATAATGCATAGAAGTCTTAGAATCATGGAACATCTGTCCCCCCAACCACCCTTTCCCACCCTAGACCCCAAATCCCCACTCCCACCCCACCCACCATTAATAGTGTTAACAAAAGCTTAATCTTCCATTTCTAAAGTGCAAATGATTTGGGTATGACTGCTGTTGCAACAGGTCTGAACAGAAAAAAAATGAAGTCCTCTGTCTATGCGATGTTTTCCAGAATATAAAAGATGAGTTCCATGACGATGGGGCCCTCACTGAGCTGGCAGGCCCCTCCATGGATCACCGGCACCAAAGCGCTGTCCAGATCATTCATGTACTGCGAGGGAAGGGGCTGGCCATTGCTCCCTGCTTGATAGCCAACCTACACCACAGAGAGAAGGGGATGACAGGTTACTGGATAGAGAAGATCTTTCCAGAGGGCTGAGGGCCAAGGAGGCTGAAGGAGATGTCCTTGGCCATGGGCTAGACACACAGCGGTTAACACAAATTTCTCCTTCTCTTCCCCGAATTGTCATTTATCATCCTGTCATTTATTTATTGAGATCCTGCCCCTTGGTACCTGTGAGACCTTGGGCAAGGCACTTAACCTGTTAAGGTCTTTGTTTTCCAAGAAGGGGCTGGAGGTGGCATAGAGAGGTATGGAATGTCTGAAATAATACCTAAATCTATGGTTGTAAAAATTAAAATGGGAAATATACTAGGTAGAACTCCCTAACAAAGCAGGAAATGAACATCTGTTCTGCCATCCATCTATTCAACCACACACCATTTTCTGAGCACCTACTAACACAGGGATCCAAAGATGTAACAGGGCTCCTGCCCTCAAGAGGCCCACACATTTGGCAGAAAAATTCTTGTTTTATAATTTTTTAAATCTCTTTTCAGCCACATTACCAGTACCACTCAAGGAAGGACCATGATATGGTACTGGCATAAAAACAGACACATAGATCAATGGAACAGAACAGAGGGCCCAGAAATAAACTGATACCTATATATATGGTCAATTAAGGAGGCAAGAACATACATTAGGGTAAGGACAATCTATTCAATAAATGGTGCTGGGAAAACTGGACAGATAAATGCAAAATATGAAACAACCACCTCCTTATATGTGATATAGGTGTACAAGAATAAATTCAAAATGGATTAAAGATTTAAATGTAAAACTTAAAACCATAAACTCCTAGAAAAAAATATAGGCAGTAAACTCTGATATTGCCCCTAGTAGTATTTTTTTCTGATACATCTCCTCAGGCAAAGGAAATAAAAGAAGAAAAAGGGAGTACATCAAACTAAAAAGGTTTTGCAAAACAAAGGAAACCATTAACAAAACTATTGAATGGGAGAAGATATTTGCCAATAATACATATGATAAGGGATTCATATCCAAAATTTATAAAGAGCTCATGCAACTCAACACCAAAACAATCCATTTAAAAACTGGGCAGAGCACCTGAATAGACATTTCTCCAAAAAGGACATACAGATGGCCAAAAGACATACAAAAAGATACTCAACATCACTAATCAGAAAAGTGCAAATTATCACCTCACACCTGTCAGAATGGCCATCATCGATAACAATAGGTGTTGGCAAAAATGTGAAGAAAAGGGAACCCTCGTGCACTGTTGGTGGGATTGCAAATTGGTGCAGCCATTATAGGAAACAGTATAGAGGTTCCTCAAAAAATTAAAAATAGAACTACCCTAGGACACAGCAATTCTACTCTGTTTATCCAAAGAAATCCAAAACACTAATTTGAAAATATACATGCACCCCATATGTTCACTGCAGCATTATGTACAACCAAGATATGGAAGCAGCCTGAGTGCCCAGCAACAGATGATTGGATAAAGATGATACATATATACAATGGAATATTA